TAAAATCAAACAAGTATAATTTCCTTAGGAAATTAATTTCCTCTGCGACTAAAATTATTTGTAGAACTAGGAAAATTCATAGGACACAAATCAGATGCCTCGATTTCGTTTATGATTAGTAAGCGATGGGTATCAAGAATATAATACACAAAACAGAATGTTGAACCTTCAAATCCCATAATGACATAGTAAATTTAGATCTATACTATAATCCTCCATTGATTTACAACATAGCTCGATAATTAGAAGTTTTATCAATTACTTCCTTATTCCTCTTTGAATTGAACTATTCCATCGTATAGTTTTCATTATCATTCTAGACAATATCATAACTATACACTTATTTCTAAAGTATTAACTTTTTTTTTTAATTATATTTCTTCATTACAACTTTAAGGTTTGATCTCTTATGAAGTCATATATGTACATTACTGAGTAGTCTTATACTAAGACAAAACAACTGTCCAATACTTCTTGGTCTTCAATACTTATCTATCTAAGATTGGTTAGAGATATATAGTATATATATGTCTTAAGAAATAGTTCTCCTTAGTGACAGATTTATTGAATCCTTGTCAATGAAGTACCAGTAGAATCCATTGTTTTACGTGTATAATTCCATAGATAAATATTAAGTCAATATTATAAATAGGATACTTGATTAATTTAAATTTTAAAAAAAAACAGAAAAGAATTGTATTCTTATAAGAAAAGGTGTGTTGTATAGATTGTTGACAGTTATCTAACTAAGGTCAGTTCAAGATGTAAACCTTTATTTTCCCTACATCTACCTTTTATTATTAGGTCACTTTATTATTATTATTATTACTATTATTATTATTGTTATTGGCATTGAAATAACAGACAGATGTAAAAAGTCAATGAAAACTTTACCAAAGTGAAATATGAATTATTCATAATAGATATGTAATAAAAGGTCAAGTTAAAGGAACAGAAAGGTAATTCCTTTAAAGAAACTAATATAATCTAATAGATAATAAAATTGTCATGGTGAAACACCCATAAATGACTAATGAAATGTTAGTTTATAGTTAAGATCATGAATTCATTGAAATCATGATAATCTAGTTTTAATGGACTTATGATCTCAACTATTAAAATTATTATAATATTTACAACCCTCCTCTCCCTCTGATATTAGTTTATATGTTTATTATGTTATTAAAATAAATGGATCATTCAATAATAACCAGTTGATTATGATCATTATTTACAATTACTTATTACTTATTCTATTAATATTTAGATCAGAATTATTATTTAGAAGTAGATAGGAGATACATTACGCATATCATCAAACTGCATCACCAGGTAATCCCTAACTTTGGAATCCTGAAGGAAAGCGGAAGAGAAGGCCAAAGAACACATTACTTCGGAAAATAGAAGCAGATATGAAAAGGATGAATAAGAACTGGAAAGAACTGGAAAGGATTGCCCAGAACAGGGTTGGATGAAGAATGCTAGTGAGCGACCTTTGCTTCTTCACGAGGAGTAACAGGCGTAAGTAAATAAGTAAGTATTAATTAGAAGACATAAGTTCATTGTTGATCGGTTCAAACTAACCAACATATCAATATTACTGATGATGTTTTATAAAAAGACTTTTTAATTATTGAAAGTTCATTCATTATAATATTTTTTTATTTGTTAAGTGTATATCATTCATTTAACATGAGTTAATTCAAGATATTTTACTTATTGTGTTAGACTAATGAATCAAATCTTGAATGGTTGTAGTGTAACCTTAAAATTTAGGACTATTTATTTGTATAGAATTCTCATCAAAATGAATCACGCGAACGGGATCGTGGATGCGCATTTCTGAGGAATCCCATAACAGGACGAAACGTCCGTTCAATTCTTCCAGGTTTCCAACGGTAGTCTAACCTCAATCGGTTCATGATTTCAATCAAAAACTTAAAAAACTCCACAACCCCTATACTGATAATTAACATGTGCTCCTAGTGACTAACTTCGTGAGGGAGTTCTCGGAGTTCTAATGAGAAGCCGTGACCAGTGGAGCTAATCTGTGTCGAGTACAGACAAGTATCTACATCAGTACAATGGAAGATGGTGGCGCAGTTTCGTGGATTAGTTGATGTTAGACACTAACACCATTGGATGCCGGCTCAGTGGTCCAGTAGGTTAAGTGTTCTCACGCAAGACCGAAGGCCATGGGTTCAAATCCTGCTAGTGGGATCGTGGATGAGCACCACTGAAGATACCCTCAACAAACCATCCTTCAAATATTTACAAGTAATTGGTAAAAATTATTATTAATGTACATTTCAATAGTTGAAATCATGAGTTAATTGAAGGGAGACCACTATGGAAAACATGGAAGCACTGGACCGACAACTTGTTCTAGTATGGGACTCCTCAGCAGTGAACATCCACGATCCGGCCCCTCCGCGAGATTCGAACCTAGGAACTATCAGTTTCGCGTGGTCTAGTTTCAATTGACTCATGATTTCAACTATTGAAATTACTACAATCTCCACAAAATCCCTACTGATATTGTACACTTACATGAGTGAAATATATCTTGATACGTATCGGAGAAACTATTCCATCAGAGATTGGAATCAATTTCTTTTAATACCAAAATTAATTAAACTCATTCAAATTATTACCATATCGTGTTTACTATAAACTCTGACAACTCTGAGTTCAACTTTGTGTAGGATTGTGTTAGGATACTACTAATAAATCTCAAATATAAATGATATAACTATGAGAAAAGTTAAATGACGTTTGTTTACTATCTAATATAGATATTTGTTTCAGACTATTTTACTTAGTACCTGTTTATATAACTAGCTGTTTTATGTATCATATGAGTGTTAAAAACAAAATAGTCGTTTAAAGCAATTCGTCCCTTTGATAGATTTCGATAATGTAATAAGAAGACGAAGATTATCAGAGCTATGTGATGATAGCGCAATACATTTGTTTGTTCTCATCCTAAACCTAACCTGGTAATATTGGCTTATTATCCTGAGTGATTATTATCCTTATCTCCTCTTACCCAATTTCCATTCTAGTTGACCTTCTATATTTATATATAAATGTTCTTAACAAGTGTGATAAGATTGTTCGAAGTGTATTGCGCTAATATATCATCATATAGTTCTTATAATCTTCGTCTTCTTATTGCATTATCGTAAATAGTCGTCACATTCTAACTTGCAATCTAATTGTTAAAATCTAAATGTTTTAAACATTCAGATTGTACTTCATCATTAATTATACTCATCTTATTAACTAAATAAATTCTTTCTAGTTTAAAGTCTTTGAGATTCGGTTGTCTAACTTTTTGACTGGATTTATGTCCATCAGTTTGTATGTGCTCTTATCCTCAAGTAGTTCTTCGGCTTTTTTAACGTATTCTTTTTTGTTCATAATCACTGTGGTGCGACCTTTGTCCGCTGGAACTATGAAAATATCCTTTCTTATTCTAATAATCAAGGTACTTAATATCTAGATGATTCAAAGATTATATTACTTACAAATAAATGATAGGAGTATGACAGAAAAATGGTATTTATTATTGATTTATCCCGGAATGGTGATCAATATTATGTATGTCAAGTCTTTCTTAATACATATCGAATCCTATCGACTAAGTTGTAATGTAGTCACCGGTCTAGGTGACTCAACATTTTATACAATAACATGAAAAATAACATTTTCATTGTGAAGTAATTAAAATCCATCATTTAAAAATTGAAGCTATAATATTTATATGATTTCAAATACATTGTAATAATTTTAAAAAATACTACTTAGTACATCGAATGAATAAAGCGTTACAGCTGCTAGGACATTAGTAATAATAATAATAATAATAATAATAATAATAATAATAATAATAATAATAGTAAGGTATTTGTAATATCCAATACTAAAATCAGAATTTTTAATACAAATATCAAGACAGTTCTGCTGTATGGGGCGGAAACTTGGACAACTACGAAAGCTATCATCCACAAGATACAAGTGTTTAGCAACAGTTGTCTACGCAAATTACTTTGGATCCGTTGGTCATACACTATCAGCAACAACCTACTGCGGGAGAGAACAAACCAGATTCAAGCGGAGGAAGAAATCAGGAAGTAATACTGGAAGTGGATAGGACACACATTGAGGAAAGCAACGAACTGCGTCACTTGGCAAGCCCTCACATGGAATCCTCAAAGTCAAGGAGGAGAGGAAGACCAAAGAACAGATTACGCCGAGAAATGAAGACAGACTTTAGAAGAATGAACAAAAATTGGATTGAGCTAGAAAGGAACGCTCAGGACAGATTGTGTTGGAGAATGCTGATCGGCTGCCTATGCTCCATTAGGAGTAACAGGTGTAAGTAAGTAATATCCGAATGACTAAAAAATTGAATTGTTCATGATATATAACAAAGTATGTTGCTTTTTCAAAATACAAATGACCAAATCCAGCAACTTACTTTCTAAAGAGGAGACTTAGTATGAATTACAAAACATTAACTATTCGAACTCACTATGTTTTGAACATTACAAATATATTGATATCATAAATACTTTACTCAAATACTTAATTGATTTGAAATGATCAAATTAAACCTTGATAATAAATAATAATTTTGATGGAGTTTTGTTCTTTAAGCTGGATGGTTTAATAGTCGAGCTTTCATTGTTCTTCTGAACAACATCATTAATAGCACAAAACTTCAGATAGAATTGAAATGTTCGAATTTTTTCACATGTGGTTCACAGCTTGTCCTGTACACCTCGATTTCCACAAGCTATGAACCACATGTGGAAAAATTCGGGCATTTACCTTCTACCTTCAGTTTATACTACAGATGATGTCGTTCAGAAGAACAATGAAAGCTCTACGACCAAACCATTCAGCTCAGAGAACAAAACTTCATCAAAATCATTCACCTGAGCTAAAAATCTTCTCCATCGTCTCAAAATGAATAATAATAATAATATACTTACTGTGCAATCTGTTTTCCACTCTGATTTCATTGATTGTATATCAGTAGTATTCATTTTATTGTTATAATTATATTCTTATTCAATAAGAAAACAATGATATATTTCATTCAATGATATTTAAAGTGAATATAATACTTCCTTATGAATGATCTTTTATTGTAATATCATTTAATACAAGTAATAAGTTGATCAAATATAAAATGATAGTTTCAATAAGATTTCATATATAGAAGAAGAAAAAAAAATTGTTTTTTATCTTTCATTCAATTTCATTCATAAATATAAATAAGTATAATAGAATAGATTATTTATTCACCAATCCATAATTGTCATGACAATAATGTATCATTTTTAACCTATTATAATTTTTATAAAAATTTCCTATTCGGATTTGATAGAAAGAAAAGTAGGTTAATTTATAAGAAAGGGGGGCACTTTATTCGCAATATTTATATTCGTATACCAATACTTATCTATGTGTATGTATGTGTATATATATATATATTATGCGTATATATATATATATATTTTGGTGTGTGTGTCAGTGTGTATACGAACACACAAATATAAACCATTCTATCATCAGTTTGTTCTATTCGATCGGTAAAAATAATAATAATCATAATAATAATGGGTGGCATGTATACTTACATATATGTATTATTGTTTTGTATATACAAATATTAAAGATTGAATATAAAGTATAGAAAATTTCTCATCAATATGATTGGTTAATTTAAATAGATAAATGAAAGTCTCATTTTGATTGGTTCGCTTTTTAAGTTAAATTAATTCAGAATGAATTGAATGTAAAATTCTTCACTTAATCTAATGTGTGTGTGTGTGTGCGTGTACGTATGTAATTTAGTGGGTACAGGAATTACACAGGAAATATATATAAGTACACAACAAAACCCATTTCATAAGAGGACAATGATAACACCGACTTATTTAGTGCGAATATATACATATTTATATATGTTTATATACTTTTTAACACTGTTATTGTTAAGTGTTAGAAGGGAGTTTAAATCGATTTTTTAAAACTATTTTTACTCGTTCTACTTGTCGATATTGTTACTGTCTATATTTATCTCTCTCAATTGTTTTCCAGTTGAATTGATTCGAAAATCTATTCATCAGAAGATATGTATAATGAAAGTAAACTATGGTGTTATTGAAGAGGAATTAAAGACAATTCAGAAAAGAAAAATATATATATTTATATCAGAAGGGATTTTGTGAACATTATAGTAATTTTAATAGTTGAGATTATGAGTCAATTGAAGCTAAACCACCATGGAAAACCTGGATACATTGGACGACCGGTTTGTCTTAGCATCCACTATTCAGCCTCTTGACATTCGAACCTATAGACCATTGAGCCGGCCGGGATCTAATGGTGTTAATGTTTAACTTCAACTAATCTACGAAATTGAGTGACACATCCGCTATTTTCCTCAGTGAATTACTATCTCACACTGCTGAGGAGTCCCACAGAACGACCAAACGACCGTCTAATGCTTCAAGGTTTTCCATAGTGGTCTAGCTTCAATTAACTCATGATCTCAACTATTGAAATATATTTCTATACCATATTACATAATTGTTATAATATTTCCTCTTTGTTTATGAGTTAGATTTCTAACAAATTTATGAGTATGAACTACTAAGGAACTAATGAAACAGTTATTCAACGCTCCTTAGTATTTGATAATTGAACTCAATCTATAATCCAAACTAAATTACTTAACTTGACTAAAACAAATTAGATTCAATACAAAAAGGTTAATACTTTTAAAAAAACTTTAAAAAAATATTATTGTAGAAGTAGAGAAATAATTTTAAATTTAAATTGACCCATTAAGTGATCGTCGAGACTATAATTTATGGACGAACTAATCAGGTACAAAATAACAGGTCTCGGTTTTTGGCGCGAAATTCATTCATCCATTTGAGTAAATGGAGTTTTGACATTATATCTGATATCAGTTTGTGATGAAAACCCTAAATCTAATTTTTAACCCTAACCATCAACTGTAAATCATAATTATATTCACACACACTAGTTTATAACCATCATTTCGTCCTAGTTATTAAGTGGATACTCTCAAGGTCACTTTGGCGTCGCTCAAAGGTCGTCCATAAATTATAGTCTCACCACTTTGATAAATTTTCTTGAATTATAGAGACATATTAAAATTGCAGATATAGTCAATTAGAATAGATAATGTTAGATAATTTGATGTATTCACTCCACGTAATCCCATAAATATGTTACGTATATAATGAAGTTGTCGTTCAATGCTTTAAATACTCATATTTTCAGTCAATAATTTAATGTCGGAAATGTATTGTATTTCCTGCGATTTTAACAATCATGTTATATTTCCAAAGATCACAAAATAAACTTGACTTAAGCGTAAAACACAGATTTGTTGTTCGTTACAGAGTTGTAAACTTTTATTTGGATTTATAAACGACAATTAAAGATCCATTGAAAAGAACAGTTAGATTCAACTAACGAGTCTTGAGTAGGGTGAAATACACTTTTTGGGTTTATATTCTAACCATGTACCAAGTATACTTACTTACTTATGACTGTTACACCACATGGAGGAGCATAGACTACCCACTACTATCCTCTATTCAACTCTGTCCTGAACAATCGTCTCCAATTCTTTCTACTTGCTATTCATCATTTCCATGTCTTATAATTCTCAACATAATGTGTTCTTTGGCCTTCCACATTTCCGTTTTCATTCAGGAATGCAAGTTAGCATTTGCCTCGTGATGCAGTTTGATGAATTTCTCAATGTATGTTTCATACATCTCCATCTTCGTTTCCTAATTTCCTTCTCATTTGGAAGTTGGTTTGTTCTGTCACACAGTAGGTTGTTGCTGATGATTTCCGATCAACGGACATTAAGTATTATGTGTAGACAATTGTTTATTAATGCTTGTACCTTTTTGGTGATGATTGTAGTAATTCTGGAAGTTTCAGCTTTATTCATTAGAACTCACTATGTTGACATTCGTCTTGAAGATTATGACTTTGATGTTAGTTTGTAGACAATTGTTTCGAGTTACATATGTTCTCCAGCCACCGCCAAAACTAGAATACTGGTTACTTGACTATATACGCAATTACTTAGCAAGCATTTAAATATGTAATATTTCATTACTATCATCATTGAAAACATCCCTACTCAAACTATGTTCATCATTAAAAAAATTTTATTAATCGAGAAAACATGAAACATACAGTTTTTCATTGCGCATTATTATTTTATTGATCAATATGAACAAATGATATGAAAACTAAATTAATTTACAGTTACAATGGTTAAGATCATGAGTCAGTTGAAGCTAGACCACCATGGAAAACCTGGAAGCACTGGATAGCCTTTTTGTCTAATTGTGGGGCTCATCAGCAGTGCGCATCCACGACCTCGCCCACTGCGAGATTCGGACCCAGGACCTGGTTTCACGCGCGAGCACTTAACCACTAGACCACTGAGCCGGCATCCAACGGTATTGATGTCTAACTTCAACTAATCCACGAAATTGAGTGACATCCATTATTGTCCTCAGTGAATTACTATCCCACACTGCTGACGAGTCCCACAAAAGGACGAAACAGTCGTCCAATGCTTCCAGGTTTCCCATGGTGGTCTAGCTTCAACTGATTCATGATCTTGACCATTAAAATTACTACAATCTCCACAAAACCCCTTCTGATATTAATTTACAATTATGAATAACTGAATTTTTCAATGTGCAGTCATATTTGGCTACTAATCATTATTAATGAAAGAAACTAAAGTATGAAACTTTTTCCGTAAAATATCAGCTCCCCAGTTCATTATATTAAGAAATCACTTTACTTATACAGCTATTTGAATCTGAAAAGCATTTAACAGCTTGTTGCTGATTTTTTAATCTCAGTGCACAATTATTCAGTAGCATGCACCCATGACCATATCAGAGGTTAGACCTAGAACCATTTAGCTTTCACGCTATGTATTGATCCTTTAGACCAATGATTTAGTAACCAATGGTTTATATTTTTAACTTTAGTCATGAAATGATGTAACCTATAAATATTAACAAACTTTACAATCCTCCTACATTAATTTATACATGGATCTGAAATTTTCGCTAATAGGATTAGTTGACAGTTCATTAATTTTTTATACAGATTAATAGTTTTATTTATTACCTTCTAATCATTTACAGAGGGTCCTTTCTTGAGAGATAGAGCGAGAGAGGGAGTATGTGTATGTTATATCTAAATACCATGGACATAATAGGAATAATGTTAACAAAAAAGGAATCAATAGTATTATTCTAAACAAAACGATTAAATTCTAATTAACATAAAGATGACAATTCTAAACTAACCTTATTACATAATATTTCACCATTAACTTCATTTTTTTTCATTTTATCGAATGGATTTAAATTTTGGTTTCTATTATCGTGTTCCATATGGAAACACACACACATACATACACACACACAGAGAGAGAGAGAGACTCATAAATACATTGACACTTATGTATAAATGCATTACAAACTCATTAATAATGTACACAAACGTATGATATGTAATAGGAGTTAACTTAATCATTGAAGAAATTCGTTTTATTCATCATCAATATACAGAAAACCAAAAAGAAAAAGAAAAAAAAATGCGGGTTCTATGTTTTCTTTTTTTTAGAAACTAGACGTCATCATCAGACATTAATCTTTACTGATTATACCAATATGATAATTTATCATTGAATATAAATAAATAAAGTAAAAACATAGAGAAATGATTAAAAATTAAAATTTCCTTTAGAAAAAAAAATCAACCATTTCAATCTATACTACTACTATAATATACTGACAATATTGGTCATTTCAAAGAAGTGTTATATATATATACATATTGTAGTATGTTATGTGTAGTCATGTATAGTTTAACACTAACGTTGGTCACTTTCTTTTATGTCAATAAAAATAAAGGTAGCCATAGACTCATCAAAAACTGGAAAACCCGCAGAAAT